CTTTCTTCTAGTCTTATACTTGTTTGAAAGTTGAGCCAAGTATAGAATTCTAGGTTGGAACTCTTTTTCCTTCAGAATTTTGGAAGTACTGCTTCATTGTCTTTGGGTTTGCAGCATTGCTGCTGAGAGTTCCAAAGCTGCTCTGATTGCTCATCCTTCCTAGGTGACCCTTTCCCCTCTTAGGAATCTTGTAGAATCCCTTTGTTTCTAGTGTTCTGATGGCACATGATGACCCTCAGGTCTCTCTGCATGCTCATTGGGCCCTGTAATCTGGAGACACATGTACTTCAGTTCTGGGACGTTTTATGTTGTTAATGATTTTCTCCCATCTGTTTTCTCTATTCTTTCTTTCTGGAACTTCTTTTATTTAGATGGTGGATCATCTTTACTAGATCTCTTAATTTTTAGTGTTTCCTCTCCTTGTTTCCATTTGTCTTTTGCATACTCACTGGGTCATTTCTTCACCTTTAAAACCCATCTTTTAAGCTTTTTGCTTTTCTCTGTCTCTCCCTCTCTCTTTCTCCCTCTTCTCTTTCTATTCCTTCCTCCCTCTCATCCCTTCCCTTTTTCTTTTAAAATCCAAGTGCTCTTTTGTTCCCTGAGTATTCCTTTGTTATAGCAACATTTTTCTTGTTTCCTGAATGCACTTTTTTCCAAGAACAGTAGGATTTTTTTTTCAGTTTTATTTTTCTCTACAAGTTGCTTTTTTCCTCTTGTTTTGATCTCTGACTTGCGCATTAGACACTTTCCTCGGGTGTCTGATGGTCCTCAGTTATCTATGCATGAAGGAAAGGCGGGCTGAATGGAAGTTCTGAGAGCATACGTGGGCCTTGTCTCTCTGGGCTGTGCATTAGGGTCGTCTTAGTGAGCTGTTTGCTAGGCAGTCTTTGAAGTCAGTATCTGTAGCTCTTATCTGTTACGGTAGATCTACATAATAGATCTGTTGTAGATCTGTTGGGTTGGTCAGATTCCGCATGTCAAGAACCGTGAAGAATCTGATATTTTATCTTATGTATTGTTGAAAATAGTTCTCCATGGTTTCTCACACTTCTGTATCTCTTGTGAGCAGAGACACTGACAGATTTCTGTTGCAGACTATCTTTTTAAGGATGTTTGTATTTTGAAGAGCTATGCATAGTATAGACAGCTTCTCTGTCTGGAGCAGAAAGTAGATATGTCTGCTGTCCAGCATAGTAAAGATAATGTCTTCCTCCAGTTCAGAGGTTAGGCAGGTTTCTTATAGCCCCTTACAAAAGATTGAAGTTTCCTAAGCATAGAGTTCCTCGATAGTGACCAAAACACTCTGCATGCATAGCATCCCCCTGGGCCTGCCTCCACGTCACCCCCATAAGACTTAGGGAAGTGAGGCCGAGAGCAACCGATGAGAACATGGAGTTCATGCTGTTTGCTGTGCCATGAGTAATAAAGTCCTGTGACCCAGGAGTCTTGTGTCTTCTGCCAGCATCCATGACACTGTGGCAGGCTGGCTTGTTAGCATGCAGATAGGGTAAAATCTTGCACACTTCACGGTTCTTGAAATGCCAGAGAAGACTCTGGTGTCTTTCTTTCCTGGGGAGTAAGAATCTAACTGCCAGCCTTCTGGGAGCCCAGCAAAGGAAGAGTTCTGCGAGTCTGTGCTCAGTATTCAGGAATGTGTCCATATGCCTGTGCTCATCTGCACATGCTCTCAGTTCTGCAGGTGACTTCCAGCTCAGAGGGCCTCTGCTTATCCTCTCCAGTGAATAAACCTCCAGACTCCTACTAAGGTGAAGGAGGGACAGCAGCCTAGTGGCATGTAGTAGAGTCACTTAGTAACCGTCTCAGTTATCAGATTGACTGTCACGGTATCACAGTGCTTGTGTTCAAGTCACCCTTATTTTACTTAGTAATGGCCCCAAAGCACAAGAATAGTGATGCTGGCAATTCAGATATGCCAAAGAGAAGCCTAAAATGCTTCCTTTAAGTGAAAAGGTAAAAGTTCTCCACCTAATAAGGAAAGAAAAATAATTGTATGCTGAGATCTATGGTAACTTTTATTACAGTATATTGTTATAATTGTTCTATTTTATTATGTTATTGCTATTAACCTCTTACTATGTCTAATTTATAAATTAAACTTTATCGTGGGTGTATATGTATAGGAAAAAACATAGTATCTATAGGATTCAGTGCTATCCATAGTTTCAGGCATCCACTAGGAGTCTTGGAATGTATTCCCTGCAGATAAGGGGGACAACTTTATGTGTTTTCTCCAAACAAGAATATTCTTGTTTATAACCCCATTAAAACCATCACAATCAAGAAGATAACATTGATACATTACTTCCATCTTATCCGCAGACCCATTCAAGTTTTGCTAGTTGTCCCAATAAATTTCTTTATAGCAGAATGATCCAGTTCAGAATCATGCATTGTAATTAGTAATGTCTTTCATCTCCTTTGTTGTGGAACAGTTCCTCAGCCTTTCCTTGACTTTCATGACCCTGACACTTTTGAAGACTATAATCCTGTTAATTTGTAGAATGTCCTTCAGTTTCTGTTGATCTGTGATTTCCTGATGATTAGATAGAGATATCTCAGAAGTGATGCTGTGTTCTTCTTATTATGTCCTGTTAGGTGGCACATGATTTCTATTTGTCCCATTACTGATGATGTTAAGTTGGGTCATTTGACTAAGTCTTTGTCATTCTTCTTCACTGTAAAGTTACTCTTTTCCCCTTCAAAATTCTGATTTTTTTCACTCATTTATTTATTTCTATCAGTATGGACTTAATGGGTTTCTTTTTGATTTAATGGCTGGTAATCCATTACTATAATAATTTATTTTGATTCTCAGTTCATCCCAGATATGACCAGGGATGGCCTCTTCTAGCCAGCTTCTAGGTCCTTTTGTTGTGTCCCTCATTGTTTTAGCACTTCCTTACTGTCTTGTGTGAAAAGATGGTCCAAACTTGTTTTGTCCTGTCTGTGCTCCAGCTCTGCAGTCAACCATTTCTCCAAAAGCCCTGATTCCTTTTGGTGGAGAATAATTAGAAACCAGTACTTGGGGCCTTGTTGCTCCCAGGCCCTTTGAGTGGATAGAGCTAGTGAGTACGTGTATGTACACAGTATGTATTTACACATATATATACAGATTTACACTTGTCTTTATCTAAATATGTAGTGAAAACTGTGAGTTCACATCAGTATTTCTCATTTCAACCAGTACCACAAGATTCATTTTACATTTGTATCTCCTTTCCATATGTGCACATCCTTTCTCTCAAAAGTTTCAGTAGGAAACCTGACTCATTAATATATTTTCTTATGTGATGAGTCCCGTATAGGTGCCAGTCTCTTGTCACTGCACCCTCTCCCTCAAGGATGCTCTCCTTACACCTCTTGGGCCTAAGCAACTCCTGCCAGGTCACTCCCTGACGTGGACACCCTCCTCACCCCATGTGGACTTGCTGAGTCCTTGTGCCAGGAGCTGCTTCTGCAGGGACATCCTCCTCACCTTGTGGGGGCTCCGTTAGAGTGTGTCAGGCTGCTGCCCACCACCCTCACCCCACGTGGAAGTTTTCCTCATCCTTTCTGGACTCCTGCACCCTGCACCAGGCTGCCCCCTTCAGGGACTCCCTTCTCACCTAATTTGGGTCCAGCCCCCTTCGTGGGTTCTGACTCTTCATTCCAGGCTGCCCTCCTCCCCTGCACTGACAGTAGGCCACCACCCCGTATGGACACCCTCCTTGCTCCAGTTGGACTCTGGTATCTCTCTCTGAGCTCCCTGTCCCGCCGAGGTGCCAAGCTTGCTTTGTCTCTTGCTTAAACATCTTCAGTTTCTTCAACTGTTTCTCACATCACGTTATTGCAAGAGGATAGAATAAGACAGCAGGTGGGCTATTGGAATGACCTGACACCAAGAACTCGGAGATTGACCAACCTTTACAGGTAAACGACATAGTCTTCCATGAGGCTGCTCTCAATTTAGACGCCAGCTGCAACTTCAGGGGTCCACAAGATACCCTCACTTCTGATCAGATGGCTACAAATTTGGGGTTTCCATTACCCCCTCAGGTTCGATAATTCACTACAACAACTCACAGAACTCAGGAAAGCTCTCTGCTTATTATTACAGTTTTATTAAAGCAAAGATAGAGCTAGATATTATAGCAGATCAGAGCCAGCCAAAAGAAGAGACGCACAGAGTAAGTTCTGGGAGGTCCCAGATTTGTGAAGCTTCCATTGTTCTCTCCCCGAGGAGTCAGGATGCATTACCCTCCAGAAAATCTGTATGCGACAGAACGGAGAGTATTGCGAACCAGGGCGGCTCACTCAGGCCTTGTGTCTAGAGTTTTTATTGGTGTCTGATTACATAGGCATGGTTGACTGAATCATCACCCGTGTGGCTCAGTCTCCAGCCCCGTTCCCCTCCCTGGAGTAGGGAGCTCAAAGCCCAACTCTCTAATCGTATGATTGTTCTCACCGGTGTGGCCAGCCCCTGTCCTGAGTCACCTCCTTACCATAAACTGTCTGGGCCCACCACGAGTAACAAAGACACTCCTGCCACTGGGTAATTGTAAGGATTTAGAAGCCATCTTTCAGGAACTGGGGACAAAAGCCAACCAGATTCTTTATTACAAGGTTTAGAGGTTACCTCCCAGCAACCAGGACAAAGGCCAACCGAATTCCTTAGTGTGGAGCTAGGGAAAACTAAATTGCTTCCTTCTGTGGTGGACAGATCAGTCGTTCACTCTTAAAATAGCTACCTTGAGATTCCCTCGTTTACCTTCTTAGATTAAGTTGTACAACAATTTTATAATGGTTATAATGTACTTACTTGTTCATTTTTTATCATAGGAATTAATAAAGTTTCAGAAATGTTCTAATACTGCTATATAAGATGATAATGGTGTTGGAGTAATGTAATCAAGCTTACAATACTTTAAAGTAAAAGTATTAATTCGCTTGTGTTATATTTTTGCCTTTTACCTGTCAGTTATATATCTTATCTGTTTTAGGTATGACTTTAGCCTTTCCAGCTTCAGTTCATGATTCTCTGATTTGCAGTAAAACATTTCAAATTCTTTATAAAAATGAGGAGGTTGTTTTAAATGATGTCATGATCTTCAAAGTTAAAATGTTGTTGGATGAAAAAAAGGTAAGCATCTCTTCCTATATATTTAGATAGTTTTTGTAAAGCCTCAAGGTGTATTTCTCACTTTCTAAAAATATTCAAAAAATATATTATAATTTCTCTTCAGATTGAAGAAACCCTTGAGGAAATGAATTTTCTGTTATCCTTGGATCTGCACTTCACAGATGGAGATTATTCGTAAGTAGGCTAATCAAACAATTAAAAATCTTTAGTTACTCATGACGGTTATGTGTTAGTATTAGATTCCCCATTTTCTTCTTAGAATCTAGCCCGTCCCCTTCTTGTTTATTTTGAACTACTCTATCTTGTGGGAAGCCTGCCTCATGAGAATGGTTAGGCCTACTCTTGTGCCCATGCTTGTTCCAGGAGCTCCTGGTGAAATCCAGACAAGGTAAACAAATATGAAACAATTTCCTAGATTCTAGAAGTTCCTGTTGATACAAATCCACTGCCATGAGGCATTTAAATATAAATGAGCTCTCTTTCACTGTATCACTGGCTAATCTTTCTTGGTGGCATGAGTGATGCCATCTTTAGGTGGGTCTTGTGGTATTGAGAGAGTTACCAGAACTGATGACTCTCACACTTGGTGGCTGTTTCTAGTTCGTTAATTTCTGGAGCCTTGAGGGAGTTTGGGACGGGCTGTCCTGAACTCGTCCGCACATCTGAACATGCAGTCGCATATTTTAGGGACGAACTGAGCTTGTATTCGTTTAAAACAAGAATCAGAGATCCATTTAACAGTTTTGTTTTGGTAGATCTTTTGTTTTTTTCATTTCAAATTTGTGTGTAGAAACGCTTCTTGAAAATCGCATGTAATTCAGACTGCAGGTAGGATAAAAGACTAAGCAGTCACGTCACTGAAAGGTCCACTTGAGAAGTCCTCTACTCTCATGCAGGGATAAGAATTTTCCACGTGGTAGCTTCTGCTCTCCTGCGATACTTGTTTACTGCAAAGAATTCCTTAAGGGGTTCTTTTTTACACCAAGTCAGACTTCTGTAAGTGGAGTAGGCTGAAATGACTAAGTAGTTCATTAGCTGTAGATAGATGTAATGTATGTATGGGTTAAAGTATGTATGTATTTAGATATCATTTTCATGGCATTTCAGCTTTTTGTATGTGCAAATCTATTGACAAACTAAATATCCGTATAAAATATCAACCAAATTAACCAATTAATAACAAAATTTTGTACACTAAAAATAATCTTACATATCTTTTGGAATTTATTATAATAGGATTTGACCTATGTTACGCGGCAACCTTATAATCAACAGTATTCTCTATGGAGTAAAATTTATGATAAGATGAGAATAATTCCTGAAGTCTCAAAAAGGACTCATTTTATAGGGACATTAGTGGAAAAGTCCATATCACAGACTGATAGAAAACTGTAGGTAAGGTCTGGTTATTTTTGTGTTGTTAGATTTCGTATTGCTGTCTAATGCAAATGTGGTGCTTTCCAAAGTTTTAAAGAAGTAATTAAGTGACTAAATGTTTGGTAGTTTAAACTGCTGCACGAAATACTGGCCACAGTGGCTGTGCTGTGTTCCGTGCACATGTGCTACCTCTCGCAGGGCGGACGACCTGGGCTCCTTGCAGCTGATCAGCAGCCGGACGCTGAAGCTGCACCTGAGCCTCCACAGGGGCCTCCACCACCACGCCAACGTCATGTTCGACTACTTCCACCTCTCGGTCGTGTCCGTCACGGTCCACGCGTCGCTGGTGGCACTACACCAGCCACTCATCAGGTAGATTGAATCACTGCCCAGTCCTGGTTAATGTCGTGTCTTTTGTTCTTAGAGTGAAAACATACACGATGATTTAATAAATACTTCCATTTTATACTAAAGTAATAAAATAATAAAATTTAAAAGCACGGTAACATTAGATTGACAGCTTATTTATTACAGAAATATGGAGCAGTCTTTGTCAAATAAACTGACTAAGAAAAATGATGCAGTTTGGAAATAACTGTACAGCGTGGTTTAGTCTGTGCCTGTGCTTTTCTGCAACGCTCAACTGGGGTATTCAGTCTCTGAAACAGTGTGTTCATTTTTTCTTAGCTTTTTTGTTTGTCTCTTCTCTGTATGGGCTAATTTGATCTTCTTAAATCTATACTATACAATAATTCTTGTTTTCTAAGTCATTAATCAATTTTATGGGCCTTTACTAAGCATTTTTAAACTGTATACTGTACCATTTTAGCTTCGAGGTGCCTAATGTTCTGGATCATAATAAATGCACTGGGATAATTATTTTTTCTGCCCACTTCCACAAGGAGTCAGAGTGTCTTTCATTAATGTAAGAGTACAATTCAAGCTCTTCAGTTTTTACAATAAAACATCCTCCTTGTGGTGTGGGCAACAAATACACACCTTTTTTTTTCTTTTCTTTGTCTTTCTTTCTTTCTTTTTGGTGAGGAAGATTGGCCCTTAGCTAACATCTGTTTTCAGTCTTCCTCTTTTTGCTTGAGGAAGATTGTCACTGAACTAACGTCTGTTGGCAATCTTCCTCTTTTTGCTTGAGGAAAATTGTCACTGAGCTAACATCTGTGCCAGTCTTCCTCTATTTTGTATGTGGGGTGCCACCACGACATGGTTTGACGAGAGATGTGTAGGTCTGGGCCTGGGATCTGAACCCGTAAACCCTGGGCCGCTGAAGCAGAGCACACGAACTTAACACTACACCATCAGGCCAGCCCCTAGATACTTTTAAAATTAGTAACTTCTCTGAAAAGACTCCACATTGATATGATTTCTGAACTGCCTACTTTGTAATTTCTGACACAAATCTGATTCCAACAACTCATATTAGGGATGACGCTTAAGGGTTATGATGTTAAACTGATTTATCAGAAAACTAAGTAGATAATTATGTAGAATTACCCTCAGAATTTATAGAAGACCAACACAGTGTAACACGTTGCCCACAAGTAGCAGCCTCCTGTGGCACACCCTTACGTCATTTTGAAACCTGTGTGAGAGATCTCCCAGGGCCCTGGGCTGGGGAGTCTCTCTCCTGGTGACGTGCTTTGCCTCCTTGCTCTACAGTAAGAGCAGTAACTCCTTGTTTTGCCATCTCTGTCCTACCTCCTAGGCCTTTGAGAGCTTGTTCTCAGTTTCTATAACTTTGGTAAGCAGGAAAGTGTTCCTATTATTATATAGAATTTTATTATAAACTTCAAAACAATTTTAGATGATTGAATAAATTACATGTAATAACATAATAAATGAATGAAACTTCTTTGACAAGAAAGTGGGGTTTTTTGAAATAGAACTTTCAAGTAAGTGGTATACAATATTACTTTTATATGAATTACATTTTAGGTTTTAGTGCTGAAAGTTTATCTGTTGATAAAATACATCCTGTAGTTTTCTGAATCTCTTATTTTTGTAATTTCTGTAGGAGTCCCTACTAAACTGTCTCAGCAGGCCCTTCTTTATGACCCTGGCTCGGTTTCTCTTCTGAGGACCGTGCAGACAGTTCGTGGAGGTCTGCGCAGGCTGCTGATGTTGCCTCCTGAGGCCCTGTAAACAGGGTGATGGTGTTCGCGTCACTAACGCAGCGAGCTGACCGCCTGCTTCCTCCTGCGACGCAGCGCGTTTGCCGCAGCCCCACAGGAGAAAGCGGAGCTCATCTCCTGGAGGCCCTTTACTGGAGGGAGAAGCCGTTTTTGGCTCAGAATCTGAAGCCAGGAGGATTAGCTGTCAGCTCTGCTTAGTGGCTGGGAACGAGGAGGAGATACGGCATCAGCGAGGTGGCTGTTCTTCACCTGGGTGCCGGGACCCTGACACGCCCTCTCCTGCTGCTGGACCTTTGCCCTGCGAGAAGTGGCGCCTTTGCTGCTCAGTGCCTGTGCGAGGGCCTGGAACCTGAGCAAGAGGGCGGGCGAGCTTGGCTGGTGGCGCACCGGTGGAGGGCGTGTGCAGGGCCACGTTCCTCGCTGTTCAGGCTTCGACAGTCTTGCCTAACATTTTGTTACAGGTGGATTTTTTATCTTCTAATCACAATGAAAAAGATTTTAAATTTACAATGTTGTCTTTTTAAATGTTATTTTTATTTAAAACAATTTCTATAATCAACCCAATTATAGATACTAGATCAATTATTTAAAGTAAGTGGGACTGGGATTTCTTTTTTTGCTCCTTTTTTTACATAACCTGTTTCTTATATTGGGAATTTAAGTACAACTTTTAAGGCTGAATTCTGGAAAACATAGTAGCAAGTGGAATTTACCATTGACTTAACAGTTCCCTTCTTTGCTGAGATGTAGATACCTTATTTTTGCAAAGCAAATTGATTTTGCACATGGAGGCTGCTCTCTGGTATGGCAAAGTTGATTTACTTTTCTGTGTTCTCCCTTTTGCCAAACTGCCGAACAATCCACATGCTTTGGCCTGCTTATAATTAGCCAGTACTTCATCTCAAATAAGATTGTATATGAGTTTTAAACATTCAGACAGATTATGCTTCTTATTCTGTATAATTTATGGTATCTTAAATGTAATGTTAATGCTGACAGCAGTATGTGATTGAGATGGTGCCTTGAAGCACTTATACAGGTTATCTTAATGGAGTTTGTAGCCTTTTACTGAGAAGAAAGGAAATATCCTGTTTTTGAGTAATAGAGTCAACAAGTAGATTTAGTAATTTTTCTTTTTCTACATTTAAGTGGTAGCTTTTTATTTCTGTAAGCAGCATCCATAATTGATTGTGTTAACTTTATAAACTTGGTAACCAGTTCTGACTGATCAGTATTTGTGAATTAAAGCTTGGCTCTCACATGTCATTTAGCTCCCCTGGATGCACCCTGTTTTGTTTTGTTTTTTAAAGATTGGCCCTGAGCTAACGTCTGTTGCCAGTCTTTTTTTTTTTCCTTCTTCTTCTCCCCAAAGCCCCCCAGTACATAGTTGTATACTCTAGCTGCAGGTCTTTCTAGTTCTGCTATGTGGGACACCACTTCAGCATGGCCTGATGAGCGGTGCTAGGTCCACACCCAGGATCCGAACTGGGCTGCCAAGCAGAGCGCATGAACTTTACCGCTCCGCCGCCAGGCCGGCCCCCAGCATGCACCCTGCTTTATCTCTAGGATCCCCTGAGACTCCTGGAAGCCCACTCATAGAGAAGTTGTCTCAAGCATCTAGTCTTCGTTTTTTTTATATTCTGTGTCTTTTCATAACAATTCAAATTATTAAAGGAAAAATTATGAAACTACTTTAAGAATACTTTACAAATCATAATCTTGCAAAACCCTTGCTCTTTATTCTCTTCCTATAAGATTTTCTTTCATGAGCATTTAACTTAACGTTCAAATAGACCATTATGACAATAATAAAATAGTAATATAATACTTATTTCTCCAGCTTTCCTCGCCCTGTGAAGACTACCTGGTTAAATAGAAATACACCAGCACAAAACAAAGATTCTGTGATTCCTACTCTTGAAAGTGTGGTCTTTGGTATTAACTACACAAAACAGTTATCGCCAGACGTAAGAACTGATATGTTTATAAATCCTCTTTTCCCTCTTATTTCAAATGAAATGTCTTTTAACTGTTTTATCCGTGCATGTGATAGTTCTTTTATTAATTATTTGAGCTCATCAACTTACAGATCTAATTAAATATGATCTTAACAAATTGGTTGGTTCCATTTGTTTATTATGAAAATTAACCTGATACTTCAGGATTTTACCAGATTTAATGGATAGAGATCTTTGACAGCAGTGCATTTTTTAGCTTGTTACTGTCACCTCTTGCTCCTTGAATAGCACTGGTAGAATCCTTCTGAAGGAGCCTATAAAGAGCCGTTGCCAGAGCTGAGAGCCAGCTGACAGTAGGGCAAGCACGGCCATTACTCCCCTGAAAGGAAAGAGGCTCTACTAAAAAGAGCGCCTGTGCCACAGTCCAGATGTAATTAGAATCTCAGATTTTCAAGCCATGTTCCAATCTGCATGTTTTAAAAGTCCACTGTATCAGAAATTACTAGAGTTGCATTTCATGTGTTAAAATTACTTGTATGAACAAGAGCAACTCCCTAATATGTTGCTGAATTTCTTACATGTTTTAGAGTAACTGTAATTAGCAAACGTTCAGAGTTTTTCGTTTATTTTTCCGTGTTTTAAATGTAATATTTTTAGGTTTCTGGTTACTAACACTCTCTGTCCCAAATCTGTCCTTCGTCTAGGGTTGCAGCTTCGTCGTTGCCGACTCCTTCCTGCATCACGCCTATCGTTTTCATTATACACTTTGTGCCACTTTGCTCCTGGCCTTCAAGGGATTGCACAGCTACTTCATTACGGTAACAGAAGAGATTCCCTCTTGTCAGAAACTAGAACTGGGTATGTTAAAAGCACCAGACCTATGCTGTGTTCACTCTCTTCATTCTCATGTTGCTGGTCGCCGGCTTCGCCATAGCTTTCTTTACTAAACTGTGATGTCTGTGTGCTTCACTTTTACTTCTCTCCCAATTCCGTCTTTTTCGACCCTTGATAATTGCTTTCTACAATCAAAACTTTTTTTGTGATACTGAGAAATAACTTCTTGGTGCTAAGTTTGAAATGAGTCTTTTGATAGATTTTTTAAAAAACGTGTCCATATACCACTCCTCTTAAAATATAACTAGGAAGTATACTAGAAAGCAAATGTAATTATCTGCTGAACCATGGGAAGGTAAATCCATGCTTCCAAATATTTAACAGTCTAAGCAGATTGTAGGTGCTAGGGATGTTTTTATATACATTTGATTATAAGTGATCTCACACCTTATTTCTTTTATTTCACTTTAGAGAATAAATAACATTACTCAGTTTTAACATTTTGAAAATTATTTAAATCATTGAAAAAATCACTTTTCAGTTTTAGTCCAACAGTAATATCTGCATATATGTTGTAGTATATAATAAAAAATGGTATTGCCTTGATTTTGTATACCATTTGTAGTTTGCAAAATGCTTTTACCTGTATCATTTCACAGAAGATAAATTATTGGGATTAGCAAAAAGAAGTTTTTATTCAGACTTTTTGTGATAGTTTATAAGCTTTTATTTTCAAGTATCCACTTATAGCTTATCATAAAAAGCACATTTTAATTATCTCTTTAGAATAAATTATTTTTATCATTATATACTTAAATAAATCAGGAATGACTTTTTAAGTTTTACTTAAATTAATCAGTATTCTTTGTTTATTTCTTTGTTCCCCAAGGATCTCAGTCTTTTAACAATATTGATGCACAGTCATGCGTCACTTAATGACAGGGATGTGTTCTGAGAAATGTGTCATTAGGCGATTTTGTTGTTGTGTGAACATCACAGAGTGTGCTTACACAACCCTGGATGGTATAGCCTGCGACACACCTAGGCCGTGTGCTACTAACCTGGGACCACCGTCATACACACAGTCCATCACTGACTGAGATGTTGTTATGCGGTGCATGACTGTACTTTCAAAAATAGTCACTGTTAATGAGAATAATTCTTGGGTTTGAGACTAATTAGTCTATTTTTATAATTGCCTTTTTTGGGATACAAAAATATTGTAAGTGCGTACAAGTGATTTGTACTTCACTTAAATTCGGCTGTGAGACAATGCTGGATGTTTTGCCGCTGCCTATCAGCAAATGTTGCAGTGGATCTGGTTAATCCCATTGTTCCGTCACTTTGGCTCACACTTTCTTGACTTGACTAGAAACAGCTATCACTCAACTGATGGTTTAGAATGCCTGATTCAGGAATCCCAATGTGCACATGGACACACAATCAGTAGGAAAGTGTGTTCTTATTTGCTCCTGTATTCTTCCCCCAGATGAAAATGGGAGTGTGGAAACCTTTTGATTACTATTCTCTGAAATATTCTTTTTCTCCGCTACTTCGTGTACTTAGAACCCTTCTGTTTCTCTTAGGAAAATCCTGTAGGAGCAGAGATACTGCCTCAGATTTAAACTCTTTTAAATGTTCTTTTGTAACAACGAAAGAATTGTTTGTAGACTAGAACTAATTTAGGCTATCACTTATGCTAAATTATTGGAAAATTATGTTACATACATTTTTAATTTGGTTTTTTGGAACTCAAACACGTTTTCTTAGGAGAATTAGAAATTTTTCTTAATTTAGATTTAGTGACTGGACCACAAAACTATTAAACCACAGTATTAATGAAGGACAATACTATGTGCCTGAAAAGTAGTGTTATGAAAAGTAGTGGTGTGAAACTTAGAAGGCGTGTGTAATGGTATTTCTACAGGAAAAGCCGTCAGTCGTTTCGATGTGGAATGCTGTGGTGGAATTCGTGGAGGCATTCTCTCGTAGTGCTCAAGAGAGCATATTTGGAGCCGTTTCTGCCGCTGACTGGCTTTGGGATGCTACATACAGAGTGGTTTCCATTTGAAAGACAGGGATCCAGATGTGGCTCCTGAGTCAGGAGGGAAAGATGAGGGCATCATGAAGGCAGAGCGTGTGAAGGAGCTCTAGGAGGGAGTCTTCTCATGGTGGAATTCCCTTGGGCTTTGATGAGCTCCCACAGTCGGGTACTAAGTGGTGCTGAGGAGAGAGCAGGGTCCCTGTCTGTAAAGGGCTCTGACCTCTGCTCCTCCCTTAGTAGGTCATCAGTTCAGCCTTGGGATGGACAGGAGAAACTCACCAGCAAGATGGGACTTCTTGTGGTTTTAATGTCGAGAGCTGTGTATGACATGGGCCTGTAAGTGCCTGTACAGGGAGGATGTCCCTCTGCATATAATTTTCAAATAGATTTAACACGTAATATTCGTGAATGAAAAAACACATGAGCCATATGTTCCCTTAGAAAAAAATATGTTTCTCTAAAAGGAAGTAATGTTTATTGGTAAAATTTATGATTAGTAATTCAAAAACACAAGCATCTCTTTTCAAAGGCAAAGATTTATTTAAAATAGCTTAGACAGTATTACCACTTTATTACTAATTTATTAATGTAACTTCAGCATGATTATTTATAAGGTTTTTAATTTTCTCTCAAGTAAGGATGGCTTTTACATCATATATATTACTTTGGGCTTATTGATGTAGAAAATATCATAATTAAAAGAGCCTTTATATTTAATTTCAAGAAGCAATTACTAAATGAATGTCAACCATATTCCAAATTATTTGCTTAAAATATTTTATCAGAAAATAAAAATCTAAAGCAAACCCAGACTTTAGTTTTAAATAAGTAAATAATAGCAATAAAATAAAATTATTAGTACCTTACACATAGTATTTACTCAAAATATATTTGTTGAATGAATGAAATAACACAATACAGTTTTTGTTGTTACTTGAAAAGAAGGCATCGACACATAGCTTATAGCAATTGCCTAGCGATTTTTAAAATCAAGACTTATCTTCAGTAAATATTTATTGGTAATACTTTGTGTTGTTCTTAAATTTTTTATTACTATTTATATTTTATTTTCTATTTATTGTGCGTTTTAGTTTATTCTTGAATGCATCTTCTAGGAGAATATCTAAAAATACTATTAATTAAAATAATACTATTGGCATATTCTGAACTGTTAACATTATTTTTATTCTAATAAGATTAAATTGTAGGCACTAGATAATATTTCCATAAAACACTGTCAACTAAACATCAATATATTCAACAGGTTTAATAGGTGGATATAGAGTAGTTCTTGATTAGAGGATGTATTATATTTCCTTCTGTTATTTAGCACTTTTCTTGAGTTTTCAAATAAGTATATATTTAAAAGTCTTAAACTCCACCATGCTTTGAAAAATGTATCTGAACTCTATTCCCTCTTTTAAAATGATGCCTTGAATTCCTTTCTGCTTTTGCCTTTTTCTTTTCTCCTAGATGAATGATGTACATTTTTTTGATGACATGTAAATAGCAGTTTTGTGCAGGGAGCTCTTACTGAGAGTGGAAGTCACGGTTTTGGAATCTAGGCCTTGGCAAGTCATGGAACCCTTCCGGGCCCCAGAATCCACACTTGTAACAGCAGGGGGTGGACCTAACTGACCTCTGAGATCCCTGCCAACTTGAAAATTCTGAGTCTAAGAAATTAAAACATAAAATAATATTGGGTTATGAAATGTTGAGTGGCGCATACATTTAAGTAGAAAAAGAACAAAGTAATATAAACTTGAATGTACATCATTTGTAATTCTAGTAAGCTAATTAACTAACAGATTCTGCTTTAGTGTTCTGATCTAACTGCTCTGTCAGATCAATACTAAGTCTATTAATAACAAGTTGGAAAATTCTAGTAAACTTTGTTGTGAAAGGAGTATAGTAACTAGTGCTGTGTGCAATCCTTACAACTAGCCAAGGCCAACACGCAGGTCCTTTATGAGCGCCTTCTCAGAAGAAAACAGCCACGAGCCCAGAAAGACACCTGTCTAGGTACGTTTACAAATAGGTTAAGTAAATAATTCCTTTTAATTAGTGTGAAATTTTGTTTTAATTTAGTGTCAAATTTCATAAGTATGTATGTACTAATATAGCATGTTTCTACCACCCTCATTTAAGAACTTACTTTCAGAATCATTTTGGTTTGTAAATAAGCTTTATTTAATTTCTTATTTAACTTGTAATGTTAAAGTGGAAATGGTAAATGCACAGATTTCTTTGGCTTTTTCCATATTCCTTTTAGAGTTCCTACAAAGAGCGCTTTTTGGAAGCCATGTTTATTGCAAGAATTTATTGGTTTGATGATATTGCCTTAAATTTGTTCAAAGTCAGTTTATCTTTGGGTAGGGCTAATGATAATGAAATGTGGTTTAAAAACTGAACATTTCATAATGTATATAAATATTGAATCACTATGATATTCACCTGAAACTAGTAGGATATTGTATGTCAATTATAATTCCATTAAATAAAAAACTGGGGGCCAGCCAGTGGCATGGTGGTTAAGTTCACACTCTCTGCTTTGGCAGCCCGAGGTTCACAGGTTCGGATCCTAGGCGTGGACCTAGCACTGTTCTTCCAGCCATGCTGTGGTGGCGTCCCACATACAAAATAGAGGAAGACTGGCACAGATGTTAGCTCAGGGCCAATCTTCCTCACAAAAAAAACAGAAAAAAAACACACACTCTGAAGCTGAATTCATGCATTACAGAAATAAAGAAGAGAAACATCTTCAGTTATCTGGTTTTGTTTTTTGAGTCAATTTGCACTTATTTTTTATTGCTTGAAACTTAAAAAGCAAAGTAATATCAAATCACCGCTATTCAGTTATGTTACATATTTTAAAGGAAGTATTTTGATCTCATTATTTTATTGATATATTTACCTATGTATTTTAGACTTTTGTTCCTGAATAGCAATAGTACTTAATTGACTATCTTTCCATGAGTATATTGGAAGTTTTTACTTTGTGTTGAATAAACCATCACGATTACATTTTTTTAAAAGTTATGAAAGGCTGTAGAAATAAAAAATAAAGTCGCAGTGTTTGTTTCTCAGTTTTCAGAAGTATGAACAAAAGGAGATTAAGGAGCCAAAGTCTTTCTCAACATTTCTTAGATGAAAACTAGCTCAGAAATATTTAAATTGGGTCAATTTTCACTAAAACTGTTACGAGATAAACTGATTTTCTTATCTGAAAGGAGAAAAGAAAGGTTGAAGATTTATTTATGGTCGTTATTTTGGAATATAATTTTACATTCTCATTAAAGTAGCTAAAATTAAAGAATTCATAGTATGAAATTGTGGTCATTTATAACATGTTTTAGTGTTCTTTTTAGCAATAAAAATTTACTTCTCATTTAAACTATTGTGTTGCCAGCCTATCAGTTTACATGTGAGCATTCCAAATAATTTTACAGAATGCTGCTTATATAATAAGACCTATATAAACAAGAACCAGTTTTGGGTTGGGTGGGGAAAGACTTGGTTCAAAACTGAAGCATAATCGAGTTGGTTGAATGATACTTTTATTGAGGGATCCTTTATCCTTAACACCTAGCATTGTGCATTGGCATTTTATGAGCTGTAAGTATCCTCTGAATGAATGAATAGGTGAATGGATGGATGGATTTAGAAAGTAAATTTAAGCCATCTTTACCCTTTGACCCAGCACCCCGACTTTTGTTAACCTGCATCATAGAAATGAGTAGTAGTATGTAAAGATATGTGTACAGGCATGTTTATTGCAGCATCCTTCTTAGCGGCAGACCACTAAAAACAGAGATAAATGCCCATCACTCAGCAAAGAGTGGAATGTAGAAGAAATTATGAGGCACCCACACCAAGGAGTACCATGTGGCCATTTTAAGCAGTGCATTAGAGCTGTGTACCAGATCTCCATGGAGTACCGCTGAGAGAAAAAGCAAATTGCAGAAACCTGTAAATGCAGTCCTATTTTTGTAAAACAGTGACTCCAAAACTCATATATGACTATGTGTATTTGAAAAATATGGAAGGAAATGTTCTAGGCTATAACCTTGGATTAGCAGGAGGAGCCAAGTCAAAAAAAAGAATTATGAAACATAATGATCACATTCATACATTTCTATAAAATTGTGTAAATGAATTCATATGTCATTTTAAAAAGAAAAATTAATTAGACTAGAATTTTAAATTCAGTTAAAAATCCTAAATGATTTTGATATCAGAGATGTTGTTTGCATTAAGTAGCTCTCACTGGCCATGATGCATATGTACTGGTTTGCATTTAGGCTCTTGTATGTAAAGATTAGGAAAATGTATCAAAACTCAAAACTTTAAAAAAGTTTTTCATTTTTTTGTAAGTTCATAGGTAGGATATGTAACCTACTAAGACTAATTTTACTGATTTTCTTCTATCACAGGGAAAGATCATGAGTCATGTGGAAACACGTTGGCATATGGAAATTATGATTTTAATACAGAGTCCACTGCTAATTTTTTTTTTAGCTTTGGAAAACCTAATGTTAGAAGTCACAGGGCCGGCCCAGTGGCGCCATGGTTTAGTGTGCACATTCCGCTTCAGCGGCCCGGGGTTCGCCAGTTCAGATCCTGGTGTGGACACGGCACCACTTGGCAAGCCATGCTGTGGTAGGCGTCCCACATATAAAGTGGAGGAAGATGAACACGATTGTTAGCTCAGGGCTAATCTTCTTCTTCAAAAAAAAAAAGTCACTGATTTATCTGACAGTGAAATGATTTGTGAAATCTTAGCAGATTTTGTTAGTTCTCAGTGGGTTGACCAAATTTGTGATCTATTTTTTGGTACATATTAATATCTCAATACAATTTTATTTATATATTTTGTGAATTACAAAATGTATGTTTGTCCTAGTTACCAATAGAGTGTTTGTTGTTGCCATCATAGCTTGGTTGTGTTTACCATGTAATTGTAACTGCTTATTTTATCAGATTTAAATGTTTGTCCTTCTTTTTATTGAGTAGTAAACATTCAGTCTACTGTAATGAGATAGTGAGCTGATGAGTGAATTTGAGGATGTCATAGGCTGTATTCTTGCCTTTGTTTGAGAATGACCAGTTGAACTCTCTTTCAGCAACAAGATGTGGAATGTTGTGTGGTCACAACTATACTGTTATTGTTCTTTTAGGAGAACTCAGTTTGATTTTGACTTAAAATTAAGTATATCTAAACATGATATTTCAGGCCTTGGTGAAATTTCTTCCCTGCAAAAAATAACTAATAAATCTTTCTACTCTGTTAGTTTCTGTATTCCCTTGTAAATATTACCATTTTAATTGTAAATTAATCTGTACACCCCCTTTGTAGATGATTATAGCATACATTAAATAAATTAGGATTGTATGGGAAAAATTTACCTCAGTTTGGACTATCTTATAGAAAACTGAATTTTATTAAACTAAATTAGAAATTTACTTTTTGTTGAAAAGAATTTTGTCATTCATTTTCATTAAATAGTGTGTACTCCAGGTGTGTTTTGTTTTGGTTATAAAAATTAATTTGAATTGAACTTTTTGGGCATAGCTTTTGTGAAAAGCAAGGCACGCGCCCGTGTCGCCCAAATGCCGAGCAGGCTGTGCTGGAGCCCGCAGTGTGGGGAGCAGTGCATCTTGTCCCTTGTGTCTTTCTGTGAGGCAGCAGGGCAGGGCACTTCAGGTCTGCAGGCAGCACTGCCTTGACGGTGCTGGCCCCTTAGGAGAACTGGAACACTCCATTTGATAATCAGAACACAGAATCTAATTATCAGTTTACCTACGTGATCAGTGTGTTTATGAAAATATTTTACATGGAAATGCAAATAATTGAATATAGTCCAGATACTTCTCCACCTTCTGGTTTTTAAACGGTAATTTAATTTATTTATATAATTTCAAAAATAGTTTTCAGATCTACCATTGAAGTATTTCCTCTAATTACTCTTTACTCCTTTCAGAGGAAATGGATGTAGAAGCTCGACTTACCGAACTATGTGAAGAGGTTAAGGTATTTGGATTTTTTAAATTCACATTATCAAGTTATTTGAGTGGAGTCTGTTTTCTATTCTAAATGTTTTGTCTAAGAAAACTTAATAATTCTTTACCCTTCCTAAAATGCAAAGATAAAATGGTTGATCATGATAGAACCACAACTTAGCTCATCAAAAGACTTTTGACTTTAGCATAAAGTTAACTTATCTTTAAAATCTGTATTATTCTGCTTATAAATGAAATAGCAAAGACAATTGATCAAAAGCGCGTTTTCTTCTGTTAGTTCACTCAAAGAATTTCTGAACAAATTTTTAAAGACCACTTAAACTTACATATTTTTGTAAAACGATATTGTTTAGAAATGAAAATTTGTCTTATTTCAACAGATCACTTTGTATCTCAGACCATTTTTCCACCATTCCATTCTTCCAATTAAATTGAATAGATTATTCTTTTTCCTTTCTTTTTTTTTTTTTTGCCTTGGAACTAAATGTTTAGCCTATTTTAAGGTCACTGTCTATGTATTTCACTCTTGGTTAGCTACATTAATGGAAGAAATCAGAGACATGAATCAAACAAAAATATGCATCAGGCCGTGGAATGGATTTCTGTATGCACATTTGAATGAAGAGTAGACAACTTTGAAAAGATATTTACCTTCTTAAAATTATACCTATGCAAGATACACAGGTAATTTTGTATACTATCCTGGAGGCTTTCCCACAGTTCAAATAAGATAAGTGTTTTCTTTAAAAAACACTAATGTTATTATAGTTGTTTCCCAAAAGAACATGAAACACTTAGAAATAAGCTTTAGATGTGTGTGATTAATATGAAACAAAAAAACTACAGTGTTTCACTGAGATATTGAAGAAAATTTGAGTAAACAAACATGATACTCCTGGATAGAAAGAGGAATAGTCACTGAAAGATAGCAGTTTTTCTCAAGTTAATATTAATGTGTCCATATCAAAACCCCATTGGAAATTTTAAAATTTAACCTATTTTTAAGAGATCACTTGAAAGATAAATATGACTAAGAAAAACTTTTGAAAAATAATGCAGAGGAACTTGCCCAACTGGATGCTGAAATTTATACGAAACTACAATAATGGAAGTAGAGTAAGGCCTCTCTCAGAGAATAGAAAGACAAGTCAGTGGAACTCAATAGCCCTGGGCTAGTCACTAGTATGTTTAAGGAAGCGAATATATGATAAAATATCACAGTGGGTTTTATAAATGGTGTGGTAAAATTAGTTCTTTATACCATGCTATGAAAGCAAATTCTAAATGGACTGAAGAGTGAAATGTCCAGAAAAATTTACGTATACGTGTGTATATAAACAATCTGATCTTGGGGTATGAAATAACTTGTTCAGAGTAACAGTGAAGGACAAAATAAGATATTGATTATTTGAAACTTCTTTAAAACCAAATACATTATAAATAGAGTTGAAAACAAGCAATAGACTGGAAGAAAATATTTGCAATATTTAAAACTGGAAATGATTAATACTCATAGGGTATAGAGAGCTCCTGTGTATCAATTTCAAAACACACTTGTGAGAAAAGGGTATACTCAGGCAGCAGACAGCTAGGCAGTTGTTAGCAGAACAAGTTAGATACTGAAATGACACTAACTCTTACTGACAACCAGGGAAATGCAGATGTAAACAATAAAGTGTTTTTTTTGCCCATGAAATTTTCAGTGGAAGTGACTGCTTATCTGCATTGTTGGTAAGGGTGGAGGGAAACTAGTATCTGCGTACACAGTTGCTAATTGTGGAAATTGCTCCATTTCTTGAGGTCAATTCAGTCTATTTTAAAACATTTGTTAAATACACAGGACAGTTTTTATTTAGAAATCTATTCCACAAAATTCCTAATACATGTGCACGAACATGAATATAAAGAGTTGCAACATTAATTGTCATAAATTCCCATATAGCCATTTAAAAGAATTAGGTAAATTTTCGTGCATTGACATGGATTATTTAATTCAGGAAATATTTATTGATCCATGGTGCCAGGTACTGCTTTCATCTGAAAAGCTCTTCCAGATATATTAATTGAAAAAATAAATTAGAGAAAAGCATGAATATGATTTTGTATACACTAAAAAAACCAAAAGCTATGTATGTTTTTTGTTATGTTTATGGGATTACATGTAAAACATTTGAGGAGCCAGTCGGGTGAGGTAGTGGTTGAGTTCATGCACTCTGCTTCAACAGCCCAGGGGTTGCAGATTTGGATCTGCACAGACCTAGCACTACTCATTAGGCCATGCTGTGGTGGCAGCGGCCCACATACAAAATAGAGGAAGATTGGCACAGATGTTAGCTGAGGGTGAATCTTCCTCAGTAAAAAGAGGAAGATTGGCAATGGATGTTAGCTCAGGGCCAATCTTCCTCACCAAAAAAATATATATGTATTTGAGAGGATATGTATGTATATTACAGACTGTTAACAATAATACAGAAAAGAGTAGCACGAAGGATGGGATTTTAAAGGAAAATTTTAATTCTTTGCTCTATATCCATCTATACCAATTTTTTAAAAATAATACATACGTATTTACATATTACTAATAAGGCTTTTTAGTTACACTTTTAAATTTTAGTATGTAAATAGACATCATAAAATTTAACAACCACCACCTAGGGTAAATTTTGACAGCAGATACAGTAGACAAATGATGTAATAATGTTTAAAGAGCTCTTATAAATTAATAGGAAAACCTGTAACTCTCCATTTTTTCATATTAGTTAAGATACCCAACTACAGGAAAGGCTAATAATATATGAAAAGTATTCAATTTCACTAATCATCAAAGAAACAAAAATTTAATTATTCTGATAGCATTGTAACCTCTCAGATTGGCTGTGATGTTTTAGTAACAGAGTAATGCTTGTTGAGATGCGGTGAGGTGCTAATTCTCGTACCTCATACATCTTTCTCAGAGATGCATTTGGGAGTATGTATCCAAAGCCTTGTAATTTATGATACTGTAGAAATGTTAACCTAAACGAATGCCCAATGATAGGAGGATGGTTAAACAAATTATGGAACACTCATAGTCTAAAACAGCTATACAACCTTAAAAATGGTGCTTTCAAACAAGTGTTTGATGATGTAAGAAAATGCTCATATTGTGATATTCAGTGAAAATGGCATAAAAGTATATATGATTCTAGCTTTTTCTCTATGTATATAACTGAAGATAATTGAAGACCGTACACTAAAATGAACTTTATTTTCTTCTGTTTTTGCTTTCCCCTATTTTCCAAGTCTATTAAAGTAAGCAGTATTTCATAATCAAATAAAATCAGTGAATGCAATGAAAAAGTTTATATCCATATAAGACAAGATAATGTTGTTTGAGAAAATATTACACAAATGTAAGATCTTATTATTCCCGCATTTATACATATAAAAGATCTTGTGAAACTTAATTCTAATTTCCTTTTTAACATAGAAAAAGTTTTATTGTTTACATTTTGAGACTTACTATGAAGATTTATGTAAACCAGAGGAGTTATTTATTTGTGCTTGAAGAGATGCCTTCCCAATAATGAAAATACTAAATTCCTCTCTCAGAACCTTGGTGCCATGATCCCTGAGAAATAAAATTAATAATTATGAGGTATCTAGACAGCCTTGGTCTCAGGAGAAAGAAAAAAAGCTGTGTACTTTACTGAGCCCGTGGTGAGGCCAGGAGGAGGATTGTGACTTGTTTGCAGGTTACACCTGAGTGTGCTGCCCGATTGACATGGTGCTGTTCACTGGCCGTCAGTGCCTATCCGGTCTGCTTTTCCTGAACTCTGCTAGCACCGTCCTTGGAGCAGGATTGCAGGTTTCAGCTTATTTAGAGTTCTCAAAAGAGACGTGAAAAACTTGTTACCCTTATATCTAACACATTTATAAACCATTTCCTGGGGCAAAACGTGTGTAGATGTATTATATATTGAAGAGTCGGTATTTATCAGATCTTGACTTTGTTAGCTTCCATTCCAGAATTCTGGAATTTGTCAACATTTTCTCTTTGTCCATAAATTCTGGGAGCTTTTTCCTTATCTGAAGCCTGTAATTCCTTGTTCGTTCATTCATTTATTTATCACATAACTACTACATACTAGTAACCAAAGTCACAAAAGTGGATAAGACACAATACCTTCCCTTCATACTAATTCTTCTGAATTTTTGTGTTTTGTCTTCTCAGAGTTGGAATAGATAAGTGGAAGCTTGGTTTGGGTGGGGGAAGAAAAGCCTGCTGAATTGCAGACTTCAACAAAGTAAAATTGATAATATGTGATAAGCAACGTTTGGGGATTTTTTTTGGAAAGGGATTAGTACGATTTGGGACACGTTGAACTTGAGCAACTTTCTTTTCACCACCAAGTACAATCATCCTGTAGGTAATGGGTCTAGAGCTCAGGAGAGATGTGATCTGGAGACAAAGATTGAGTAGTCGTTGGTACATAGACGGTCATTGAAACCATGGGAATGGCTTCCAACCTCAACCTAAACAGACTACTGCTACCCTTTGTGGGGTAGGGCAGGGAAGTCAGCATCTGTCTATATATTCAAGGCAGATTTCGTAGTGTTAGTAGTAATTAAAGGCAAATTTTCGCAGCAAGATATCTATCTGGAAACTGACTGCAGCCTCAGTGAATTAAGGAAAAGCCAGTCTTTGTGATAAAATGCTTGTCCATAAGAGGAGCAGTCATTCTGATTTATGGTCTTTTATTGGTATTTGTTCAGAAATCCTTATTTTATCAATTCAGGAAAACCAAATGCCTTTTTGAAGATTCTGCATTTCATAGTACAATTTAGTACTCTTAACTTTTATCATCAGTTTAGGTGAATATTTAAATAAATGGGATAATTTATTACCAGTATTAGAACACTCTATAGAAGTATATTATAGAACTATGTGTGTGTGTGTGTGTGTGTATATTATAGAACACTATATTATAATAATGTAATTGTTTACTTGCTTTTCTCTCTTCGCTAGACTGTGATCTTCTCATGTTGATCTTTTGATCTCTGGTGTGTGGGCCCTTGCATTTAAATTATGTTCAGGGAACAGTGGACGACTGAGTTGTTAAAAAGGAGAAAGACAGCTCTGTAAGAGGATGACCACAAATACCACGGAGACTAGGAACTCAGGCGTGAGGGAGAAGCACTGCTTTCTACCTCAGTCCTCTCTGAGGAGTTACAGATCTTTTAAGTACTTTACTTAGCTAATTGGAGAAAAAATATTATTTTTAAAATTTCATTATCTTGCAAAAATCTTATAACGTTCATCATGATTTATACATTGTGTTTAAAATTCCCAGTATTTTAGTGTTTGAAGTTGATCATGCTCTATAGAATCCTGATTTCTAACTGTATTTGACATTATTTCAGTAACAAGATACCTCAGATATTGAAATATCAGTTAAGTTGTTGAAAATTGCTACAATAACTATCAAATAGAAAAAAACCCTTGGTCACTTGGTCTCTCTGTATGCACACACATGTTTCTTTTTAAAACTAAAAATTTGCTTTTATTAATGTTCTTAATAATATATTTAGGTATGTTATGGTGAGTCTCAGGAAGCAGTGAAGTTTTTTTTCTTGTCATTTCAGAAAATAGAAAATCCTGATGAACTGGCAGAACTTATAAATATGAATCTTGCACAACTTTGCTCACTTCTAATGGCTTTATGGGGGCAGTTTCTGGAAGTTATAACACTGCATGAAGAACTAAGACTATTATTAGCACAAGAGCACCATACTTTGAGGGTAAGTTAAAGAAAAGTGATGTTAGAGCATTTTAATGAGTATTATCATTTATCTTTAGAAACTGCTTACAAGTAAGAAGTCTGATTTTTACCTAAGACATTGATAGATCAGAAAAGAGACATTTATTGTTGTGTTATTGTTTGATTTCTAAAGTTAATAACAAAACAGTACAGTTGAGCACGTGACCTATCTCAGTTACAAGTCCTGCTAGTTAGAAAAACCACCCAAGTGTAATAGAATAGGAAAATCTGTGATACAGAATAGCCCCTGGAACCCAAGAACAGGAATTACAGCCAGGTGTCATTAGGAACAGGAACTAGGAACCAGAGAGCTGCCCTGTTACAGAACCTCTCTCTCCAGCTTTCCCTCCCTGCCCTCCTTCCTCCCTCCTTCCCTCCCCTCCTTTGGGACTCGTCTCACAAGCGTGGAAGGTCGTGGTCTAGACGTGCATGTTTGCTCTAGGCCTGGTGTGCACATGCTGCAGAAATTACTGTACAGCTTTGTTGTGCAGTGTGGCGAGAGGTTTTGAGATATTAAACGTCTGACTGCCTTTCCATCCTAGCTCCTTATGCTTTGTGTGCACTAATTTTCCTGACCTACTAGTAGTTCCTCAGAAACATCATGTTTATTTTCTTTTTTCCTTTTTCTTTTCTTAATTATAAAACACAACATATGATCAAAATCAGGAAAATGCATAAAACATGCAAGTTTTAACAAATAATTAAAGCACATACACGTAACTATTACCCATATCAAGAACTAGAATATCGTCAACACCACAGAAGTCTTCCATGTTTTTGCCATTTCTCTTCCCCCCCTGACATTTAGAAGTTGTCATCATCTGTCTTTTGTGATGAGTTCCTTACTTTTCTGAGTTGTAGCACCTACGGGTGCACGCTAAATGAGAGAGGTTGTTTCAGCCTGTTATGTCATCAGCCTCTGTTACTGAATTCTATGTAAACAAGTCATACGGTGTGTATTCTTTGTCACTTGCTTCTTTCACCCAAGATTTTGTTGCTGTGGTCTGTCACATTGATTGATGTGCAGATGTTGAACCATCCCTGTGTCCCTCGTATGAACCCCACTTGATCATGATGTGTGATCTTTTTGATGTATTGCTGTATTCACTTTGCCAATATTTTGTTGAGGATTTTTGCATCCATGTTCATCAATGATATTGGCCTGTAGTTTTCCTTTTTTGTGTTGTCCTTGTCAGGCTTTGGTATCAGGGTGATGTTGGCCTCACAGAATGTGTTATGAAGCGTTCCATCTTCCCTAATTTTTTGGAATAGCTTGAGAAGGGGAGGGATTAAATCCTCCCTGAAAGTCTGGTAGAATTCCCCAGGGAAGCCGTCTGGTCCTGGACTTCTCCTTTTGGGATGCTTTTGCTTACTGTTTCAATCTCTTTCCTTGTGAGTGGTCTATTCAGATTCTCTATTTCTTCTTGATTCAGCTTTGGGAGGGTGTAATTTCCTCTAGATTGTCCATTTTGTTAGCATAGAGCTTTTCGTATTATTCTCTGATAATCCGTTGTATTTCTGTGGTATCTGTTGTTATTTCTCCTCTTTAATTTCTAATTTTATTTATCTGAGCTGTCACTTTTTCGTTGTGAGTCTACTAGGGGTTTGTCAGTTTTGTTTATCTGTGCAAAGAACCAGCTCTTTGTTTCATTCATCCTTTCTGCTGCCTTTTTTGCTTCAATAGTATTTATTTCTGCTCTGATTTTTATTATTTCTCTCCTTCTGCTGACTTTGGGCTTAGTTTATTCTTCTTTTTCTAATTCAGTTAGGTGTAGTTTGAGATTGCTGATTTGGGATTTTTCTTGTTTGTTAAGGTGAGCCTGTATTGTGATGAATTTCCCTTTTAATACAGCTTTTGCTGCATCCCATATGAGTTGGTATTGTACATTTTCATTTTCATTTGTATCCAGATATTTTTTTATTTATGCTTTAATTTCTTCAATGATCCCTTGATTGTTCAATAGCATGTGGTTTAGTCTCTACATCTTTGTCCCTTTCTCAGCTTTTTTCTTGTAATTAATTCTAGCTTCATAGCATTGTGATCAGAAAAGATGCTTGTTATTGTTTCAGCCTTCTTAAATTTATTGAGGCTTGCCTTGTCTCCCAAATTATGGTCTATCCTTGAGAATATTCCATGTGCACTTGAGAAGAATCTGTATTCTGCTTTTTTTGGATGGAGTGTTCTATATATGTCTATTAAAGTCCAACTGGTTTAGCTTTTCATTTAATTCCACTGTTTCCTTGTTGATTTTCTGTCTGGATCATCTATCCATTGATGTGAGTGGAGTGTTGAGGTCCCCTACTATTACTGTGTCATTATTAATGTCTTCTTTTAGGTTTGTTGATAGTTGCTTTGTGTACTTTGGTGCTCCATGTTGGGTGCATAGAGATTTACAAGTGTTATTTCTTCTTGATGTAATGTCCCTTTAATCATTGTGTACTGCACCTCTTTGTCTCTCTGTACCTGTCTCATCTGAAGTCTACTTTGTCTGATACAAGTATTACACTGCCTGCTTTCTTTTGTTTGCCATTAGCTTGAAGTATCATCCTCCACCCCTTCACTCTGAGATTGTGTTTGTCATTGGAGCTGAGATGTGTTTCCTGGAGGCAGTGTATTGTTTCATCTTATTCTTTAATCCATCCATCCACTGTGTGTTTTGGTTTTTTTTTAAAGATTTTATTTTTTTCCTTTTTCTCCCCAAAGCCCCCCAGTACATAGTTGTATATTCTTCGTTGTGGGTCCTTCTAGTTGTGGCATGTGGGACGCTGCCTCAGCATGGTTTGATGAGCAGTGCCATGTCCGCGCCCAGGACTCGAACCAGCAAAACACTGCGCCACCTGCAGCGGAGCGCGTGAACTTAACCACTCAGCCACGGGGCCAGCCCCCACTGTGTGTTTTTTGATTGAAGAATTCAGTCCATTTATGTTTAGGGTAATTATTGATATATGAGGGCTTAATGCTGCCATTTTATCACTTGTTTTCCAGTTCTCCTGCATTTTCTTTGTTTCTCGTCATGTGTATTTTGGTCTACCAATTGAGTTACATAGTTTTTTATGTTGTGTTTCTTTGTTTTCTCCTTATTTATTACTTGTTATATTTATAGTAATATATATAATATTATTTATTATTCTCTGTTCTGCTTTTATGTTTAGTGGTTACCATGAGTTTTGTATTCGAAATCTCATAGATAACATAGTCCATTTTCTGATGGCCTCTTATTTCTTTAGACTAACCCAATTCAGCCCCCTCATTCTTCCCTTCCTAAATTGTTTTTCTCACATCTTATTCTATCTTGTGTTGTGAGTTTGTGATTAAAATGACAAGATTATTGTTGTTTTTGGTGTTTTCCTTCCCTTTATCTTTAATGATATTCTTGAGTATTTGCTAACTTGTTCAGATGTATAACTACAATTTTCTGATTCTGTCTACCTATTTATCTCCTTACTCTGTGCTTTGTAACCCCTTTCTCCTTTTTTTTTCCAGATATGAGGGCCTTCTTGATGATTTCTTGTAGGGGAGGTCTCTTGGCTACATACTCCCTTAACTTTTGTTTGTCTGAGAAAGTTTTTGTTTCTCCATCATACCTGAAGGATATTTTTGCTGGATAGAGTATTCTTGCCTGAAAGGTATTGTCCTACAAAGATTTGAATATGTCATTCCAGTCTCTCCTAGCCTGTAAGTTTTCTGCAGAGAAATCCGCTGAAAGCCTGGTAAGGGTTCCTTTGTAGGTTATTTTCTTCTGCCTTGCTGCCCTTGGTATTTTTTCTTTGTCATTCACTTTTGCCGGTTTCACTACTATAAGCCTTGCAGTAGGTCTTTTTATATTGACGTATTTAGGAGGTCTGATAGCTTCTTCCACATGGATTTCCATCACCTTCCCCAGGTTTGGGAAGTTCTCTGCTATTATTCCTTTGAACAGTCTTTCTGCTCCATTCTCCTTCTCTTCTCCCTCTTGAATACCTATAATTCTTATGTTGCATTTCCTAATTGAGTCTGATATTTCTCAGAGACTTTCCTCATTTCTTTTTAGTCTTAATTCTCTCTCCTCCTCTATCTGGAGCATTTTAACATCTCTATCTTTGATTATGCTCATACGCTCCTCTGTGGTGTCCACTTGAGTGTTCAGGGAATCCATATTGTGTCTTATCTCTTCCATTGTGTCTTTCATCTCCAGTATTTCTGATTGATTCTTTATAGTTTCAATCTCTTTTGTGAAGTAGCTCCTGAACTCATTGAATTCTCTCATTCTCTTTTACATCGTTGAGTTTTTTGATGATAGTTGTATTGAATTCTCTGTCATTTAGATTACATCTTTCTGTATCCTCAGGACTGATTTCTCAATATGTGTCATTTTCTCTCTGGTCTGGAGATCTAATATAGTGTTTGATATTGCTAGAGGGCATAGCCCTGTTTTTGCACATCCTGGTATTATTTGGTTGCAGTTAGCATCTATTGCCACTGGGTGGGGGTCAAGAGCCGCATATTCTGAGCCCGCTGTGTTCCACTGGGATCCCAGGCGCTGGAGCCAGTGCTGGGCAGGTGGGGGTAGGGGTGCTTTCTTCTGCGTGCTCTAGGAGTTTTCTCACTCTGTTCTCACTGTCTGCTCTCCTGGGGTGTTGGCTTGATGAAGTCACCCCCATGTTAGCTTTCACCTTGGTTGGTAGGGGCTTTCCCCGAGGCTGTAAGGGCCCTCGGGGATCTTTGATGTTCCCCCAAACAAACGTGCCCTCCCACGTTCCTTCCATTTCAGAGGCCACCTGTGGTCCCAGATCCCAGTCTTTTGAGGAGGGAGTGAAGTTTTCTCTTACCCTGTTCCACCTCCTGTGAGGGGGCCTCCAGCCTCTCCGCCCTCCATCGTATGGCTGCATGGGTCTCTCAGACGTTTTTGTGTTGTGTTTGGATGTCCTCTGTTGGAGTATGACTGTCTTTTTTGTTGTATGGTGGAGGGGAGTGAGTACCAGGAAAGCTGAGTCTTCCAT